AGCAATCTGCCAGCAATTGTTCTCTTCGACTCAAGTCGGCACAATGTATGTATGTATGTATGTATGTATGTATATGTATGTATGCATGCATGCATGCATGCATGCATGCATGTATGTATGTATGTATGTATTTCCCTGTCTATCTATATCTTACTATCTATATTTTAGGGAGAACGATGTGGATTCATTCCTCCCGTTCCCTACTATCCACCAGAAGGCAGCACTGGCTCGAACAACAAATTCTCTAAACCCAAACCCCAAACACCCAACTCTGTACCCGACCCTAAACCCTAAACCCTAAACCCTAAATCCTAAACCCTAAACCCTAAACCCTAAACCCTAAACCCAAGTTAAACAACTCTGTAGGCTCTTGGCTATCAGTGGCTTGCCGCTGTACTTCTTGACCAGCTCCGGAACCTGAGATGCAAAGCTTCTCTGACCCAAGGCTAGGGTAGGGTTTAGGGTTTAGGGTTTAGGGTTTAGGGTTTAGGGGTAGGCTTGGGGCCCCATGAAAAAATACTTGTTTATGACGGGTTTAGGGTTTACGGGCCTTAGGGTTTTAGGGCTTAGGGTCTAGTAAGGCTTTAGGCATGAAATGGGAACTGAGGGTAAACAGCATCCACTTCATTCTCGAATCCGAAACCCTAAACCCTAAAACCCTAAACCCCGAATCTACCCCGGAAGGGGACATCCCCTTCCTCCAGGGTGCCCAGCCCGCACAAACAGTGGGCGCTCGAAGCTCGTTGGTTCGTGTGCGGCGCCCTGCAGAAGACTGGGTTGCTGCTAAGGAACTTAAAGTAAGTTACCATAATCTAGGTATGTAGTTAATAATAGCGTTTGCTTATGATTACAAGTAGTATATAGGATTGATAAAGTAAGGTTTAGGTTCATAAGCAGCAACGTAAGAAGAGAGTCGTGCAAAAACCTCAACGGCTGCAAGCAGCAGACTCGGCGCATAACTAAGTGGTACTTTCCAGATAGACAGGGAACCCAATACAGACCCCTACATAAAATGATCCAAATTGTGGGGACCACCAGAAAATGGATCCCTACGTTTGGGAAATCCCCCAAATCTGGGGGGTTACTAGCTGTCTTGGGTATGACGACGGTCGAGGAGTACATGCAAGTTCGAAGGGACCATATGTAGAAGTCCAAAAACTTCCTCCTATAGAGTTTTGGGTTGTAGGCTTTATTAGGGTACGGATCTCGCCCTAGGGGTTGTATGGGCAGAATTGAGAACCTCCCACATGAGTCTGAATGGACTGGAAAAATGTGAATAATCCTTGATTTGGAGTCAACATGCGTGATTCTTCTTTCTTGCGCAGTGTTTTTGCCTTCTGTCAAGAGGGACCGTAGGAATATAGCATGTATACGTACGAGGAGATTGTAGGGGTCCTCTTATACAGATTGCATGGGAAAAGCGTGGAAGCTCACATCGCATGTAAGAACGCGGCCTCGATCACTCCCACGTCCCGATCCTTGTCTCGCACATCGATCAGGATGCACCTCGGCAGGCAGCAGCTTGGCCGACAACAAGTCAGGACATGCTGGTGGAGAAGACTCCCTGAGAGACCAGCTGCTTGGTTTGCATCAAGTTGAAAACCTTCAAAGCATGATGTTCCCTTCTGATTCGAAGCAGGCTCTACCACATTGTGCTGTGCCTGGACTGGATCCAGCAGCTCAACTCCCTGGCGCATTCGACACTTCCCCCCCTCCCCCCCTGCCTACTCCGAGACACACTGTTCTCGCATGCTCCGCCCACATGCCGACCTGGTCCAGTGCGACCGTGCCCGGGAGGTCGTTGCCCCTGATGTGCTGGGCAGCCACCGGCCTGCACAAGGTAACATCGTTTAGCAATCCTCTTAGCACAGCCTGCAGGCCTTGGAGCGTGGACAACGGTTTTCGTCGTGCCAGCACTGCACATCACGGCCTCTCCCCACCAGCCTTAAACCCTAAACCCTAAATAGTAGTTTCCATTTTCTCTTCCAGTATCCCAATATTATCCCAATATTCTCCCAATAGTCTCACAATATTCTCCCAATATTATCCCATATTATCCCAATATCACCCTACATAGAGCACATACCCAGAAACGCGAAGAAGATCGGGCACTCCTTCGGCTGTCCACCTGCATAGGACCTGCATCAGGAGCCCCTCCAAACAAGGTGCAGATATCGCCATGCAACAAGGGTCCAACCTCCTACCTTCAGGCTCAACCTGCATGTTTGGCAAGACTTAAACACCTAGACCCTCCATCCACCCTATGTATACCCTAAATAGTGGACCATGACCATATACCCTAAATAGTGGATCATATGAGCTAGTTTAAACTCCTAGTATCCCCATTAATGACCCCTGTAATACTCCCTTATATAGTCCCCTAAATAAGCTCCCTTTTCAAGGAGGTAAGACTATGGATCATATACCCTTATTTGAGGGTACAAGGCGGGTCCTAAAACCCTAAAGCCTAAACATCAAGCAGGCCTCGCCGCTGGGGCTGTCATGGCATGTTGCCACCCGAAGCGCACATTGGCCTCGATCGTCAGCGCAATGAAGGATGAAGCCAGCCCTTACCACAGCTTGATGCAAATGAGCTATAGTCTAAACTCCTAGTATCCCAGTTCATAACCTTTATAATACTCCCCTATAAAATCCCCTGTACAACCCCTTTTAACGAGTTTAGACTATAGCTCAAATGCTGTAGGAGCCTAAATAATGACCAATATCATTCAGATGTGGATTTGAGGCACCCTATACTACAGGTATACAAGGAATCTTGAATCATAATATTTGTATTTAGTTCGGCTCCTATAGTGGTGACGGAGCGCTGCACTGATTGCCAGTGGTGAGTAGGAAATGAAATGCTGGAGTACAAGGCTTACTCTATAAGGATCCATTCCTCCAATCCATGAACTCTAAGCTCTCAGCCCTACACCCTGAACCCTAAAACTGGGCTGCTGCCTAAATGAAGTTCCTTAACAGCAACCCAAAAAAAGTCCATTAAGCCATTCTCTACGCGTACCACCAGCGATATCATCTGCCAGGTCCGTGGCAGGCTTCGTGCCCAAGATGAATCCCTAGCCGAAGCAGCACAATACGCTAGGCTAACTGGTTCTTGGTAGGGAACAGGCGAATATATTACATTGGGGTTATATCGAGATCATACTCCCTTGTGCCGTACTAAAAACCAGAAAGCAGGGTCCTGTACCAGCCCCACTACTGGTTGCTTTGTAGGCGGGTAATACAATGCATGTGCTCATTCTGGGGTTTTAGCGTGACGCGTGTGAAACTTCTATCCAGCAAGGAACCAGACTATCGAAGCACCCCGTCCTGCGGGCAGAAGGAAGCTGTGACGTAGGCCCTGCCAGCGCTCAAGGTATGTGGCATGATGCCCAAGAGACTTGCTGAGTTTGGGGTTGGTTTAGGGTTTAGGTTCAGGGTTTAGGGCTGGTTTGGGGTTTCCGGTGTGGACGACGGCCAGCCGTGCCTGATGGCTCATGCCATGATCCCTGCCTAAACCGCAAACACACATTCCAAACCCTGAGCATGTAGTCTAGAAAGACAACCCATGTGTCACTTCCTGCAAGCAATCCCAGGTGCCACCTAAACGCTCATGGGTAGTTTTCATTGGGATTAGCTAGGGCGCCGTACTTCCGACCCTGGGTTTGGGGAATGCCAACCTTACTTAGAACTACCCATGAGCCTCCAAACGGTCATCTATCTTTCTTCGCCCGCCTTGGCACAGCTTGCGGACGTAGCACAGGAGCGCCCACCTCTTTTTAACCAGGGCCAGGGCACACAGATGTATTGACGAGCGACTGAGTGAGCATTGCAAACGGAGCGTCTTCAGCTGAAGGTCCTACAGCACAGCAACCGGGTCTACAGGCTAGGAAGAGTCTGCACAATACCGAGCAGCAGCTTCACAACATGAGCTGGTGGCACCAAGTCTGAGGCAGCCACATACACAGTCCGCGGTTGCGCGCAGAGGCCCGCCGCCTGAATCATCAATGCCAAGATCCAGTGCAGGCACCTCCCCAGACCCCCCCCAAAAAAATCTCCAAAAATCTAACTCTGATGTCTCTCAGTTTCTATCTTATGGGGGCTCCATTTTCGGACCTATTCACCCTAAACAAGCCTGCGCCACAATGCTGAGTAGCTCCAAAGCTTGGCCAGGGAGAGGACTTCACCCCAATGTATTCGAATAGATTTATTACATAGTACAGTACTTATATTATACAGGATGCTAATTCTGTTGTATAGTATTATACTAGTTAGATTATATAGTCAGCATGCTGAAATTATGCCTTCTTCTCGAGTGTGGCTGTACATGCTGCTGCCAACCATTGCATGAATTATGCAGATGAACACTCGTGCTAAACCACTGTCTTGGGCCACAACAGAAAGGCTCAAAGGGTTTTTCAGCACAAGGAGTTCAGAACCACGCCACCACTTTGCATTTTTGCCTCGGGGTGCCAGGCATCGCCAAGCCAATCGGCACAGGCTGAACTAGCCAGACCTTTACGGACTCTGGGCAAGCATAGTTTCTGCCCGCCTAAGGGAAAATCACCGAAAGTGACGCCAGGTGAGCCTGTCATGTCCTTTGGACAGATTACTTGGAGGCTCATGGGAGGTATAAGTGGTGCTATACGTCCCCTGAATTCGGGTATAACTAGACTTAGACTAATGAAAGCTCCAAGTACGGCTACCCAACCTTCAAGTATTGGCAAGATGGCCTGGTTTTGGGATGGCCGAACCATTGCTGCATGCGATTCCGCAGCAGCCAAGCCCGACCAAATACTGTAAGGGCCTAAATGATAGCCAACACTATTTTGAAGTCTATTCCAAGTACCTTATACCACAATGATACAAGGAATTTCTGACCATAGTATTTGTTTTTTAGGCCCCTACATTAGCTAGATAACGTGGGAGCGCTCCCCGCTGATTCGAGTTTAGATCCCTACATAGTCCACAGGGGGGACCCCCGAAAACTCCTGCAATCCAGATAGATATTTAGATCGGTGCCCTACATTGAAAAAAACTCTCCCATGGGAGCTACACAGCGCTGCTGCAGCTAGGACGGACCTGATACAACCCTTACGTAGTCCTTGCATACCCCCCCATAGGACCAGGTTGCCCCATATTACCTATAGTCTAAACTCCATTTTATCCCCCTTAGTAACCCTGTAGTACTACCATCTATAACCCCCTATACCCTAGTTTGGAGTACAACCCAGAAAAAGAGTATAGATTGTTCACTTATAAGTTGTTATAATAAGAACCCAGGAACCAAAAAAGTATTAAAGTCTAGTACTCCAATATTGGGTATTTAGCCCCCTAGACCCCTAAACCCTAAACCTAGCCCATATTTGCCCCCGTAACCCACAGGGATCCCCAGAAAGGGTCCCTCCTCAAGCTCAAAGAAGCTAGAGAGGTATCCTTTGAAAGGGGGTTATAGGGCTTCTATAGGGGGGATATAGGGATATATACAGGTATATAGCGTAGGGTTTGGGGTTTCCCAAAATTAGGGGTTAGGGGTTTAGGGTTTAGAGAGCGGTCAACCTACGATGCTGAGCTGCTCCTGAGACGTTTCTTGGGTACTGCCCCCATGCAAAAGCAGGCTAAGATGGGGGAGATATTAAGGGCTGTAAAATCATATGAGCGAAAGTCTAAACTCCTAGTATCCCCCCTAATAACCCCTATATAAAACCCTTCAAGGAGTTTAGACCCCAAACCCTCCCCTTTTAAGGGGGTTAGACTGTAGCTTATAGGAGAGTTGTCCAACTGGTACTGGGTGGAAGCGGTACCCAAGGCGCCTCTGCCTTTGTACAAATCTTGCGCCGCACTTCTGCCTTGTGGGAAGAGTGTACCACCTTGCGATACAGGGTTTGAGGGTTTAGGGTTTCAGGGAATTCAAGACACCCCTGGGACAAAGAACCTTCCATGATGCGCCGCAAGGATTCATTGGATGTATGTATGTATGTGTGTATGCATGCATGCATGCATGTATGTGTGTAGGCACGCATGTATGTAAGAGTAAAATCCACCCACTTCCCCACATAATTCCTATATAACCCCAGTTTCTATTTCATGTCCATGGTTTTAAATTTGATTCTCCATTTCGGGGGTAATACTCCCTTGAACCCTAAATCTTAAACACCCTAAACCCCAACCCCGAAACCCTACATAGCCCCTATCTAATCTTCATTTAATCCCTGTATATCCCAAAGCCATGTATTGTTCCCATTTACTAGCGGATGTCAAAGTCTGGGCAGTGAGCCTTGAGAACTGGCTATATTGGGATAATGGAAAATAGAATGGAAACTACTTTAATATAATGGGTTACATAGGGGCTATATTAGGTTATATTGGGAGAATGGAACATAAATTGGAAACTACTATAATATAATGGCGTTATATAGGGGCTATATTAGGTTATACAGGCATAGTGGAAAATAAAATGGAAACTACTGTAACGTACTAGGGTAACCCCTGATCGAGCTTGAAGCTTCACGCGGTTTGGGGTCTTAGGGTTACATAGGGTTGCACGGACTATGTACGGATGATGTGGGGGATTAAAAAAAGAACATGCATAAAATGTCGTGGTTACTTGGAGGGTCAGGGGGACATAATAATTAGGTTAATAATGGGGATAACTAGTGTTACTATATGGGTTATAGGGGTTACTAACCTACTTACTAAGTCCCCCTGGCCCTCAAGTGGTCTTCGGATGAGAAGGGAAAAGCTGGCAGAAAGTGAGGGGTCGCAAGTAGCAAAGAGAAGCTTCGCTTTGGAGCAAAACCTCAAGTGCTCAGAATTTGTTTGCCAAAGTCA